TGCCCAGGGACACAACGAAATGCTGACTGCAGTGGGGTTTGAACCTGTGCTACCCTGATCCGAACACCGACGCACTAATCCACTGCGCCACAGCCTTAATGAAAAGAACAAGGTTTAGGTTCGTTCTTCAGATATGACTGTGACGTTAACGTGTAAGCTCAATAGTGAACTCCAGCTCAACCAACCATATTGTAATATCTAAGTAATCATCTTGAAATATTACATTAATAATTGTAATATACACACATCTTATTGTGAGGTTGATTTCACATACACTACTACTTCGACATTAGCTTGTCTACATACTTGAGCATAGCCAATTTAAATTAACCTTAGCGATGCATACAGTTCCTACCTACATAATAAAATATCTCTCTAAGTTACAAGGATGACCTTATTTTATCAACCTCAAACAGAAGCTGTTTGTTCAACAGTATTATCCCACTTTACGCTTAAGACTTCTCTATTTTGTTTTAACCTTTATATATACACAGTCTATGATTTTAACTTGGAGGCTACGATTAGCATCATTAGCACCGATGTAGCTACCACTCGCAACCCAAGCCCATTCATTACGTAGATTAAAATCATTAGCACATAAATAAGTACTCGAATTTCACTTAACGCAAAAACGCATTCATGCACCGTCTGTTTTAACCGCAGAGCGAGTCACAATAGNCCGATATATAAGCATGAAGAACAAACAACCACGGCCGGCTTCAAGTTGTGTTTCCTGGATGAACTGAGTAAGCAGAGTCCCAGTAGCTAGCTTCCCGGGGCAGCTAGCAGAGAGACAAGAAGCTAGCAGCAGCAGTCATTTGACAGAGCAGTCATTTGACAGAGCCGTCACTCAATGTGACCACGCCCTAATTTATGCAAAAACGTTAAGACCTAATATAAATAAAAGGGTCGTGTTAGAAAACAATTCACTCACAGATCCATAATCATGAAGGTGGAATCTAACTATATTCATCATAATATTTATTGCATCCATGGGTAGAAACATGTTTTTTTCTGCTGTAAAGTTGGGCATTTTATCATGGGGGTCTATGGAAATTGCTCCTTTCTGCAGTCAGTCCCTATCGGCCAATATATGAACTGCAGTGTGTGTGGCACTTCCGTATTGGCGTCCCGGCTCTACCCCACAGTTTGCCGCTTGGTAAACACAGACCATATTACTTGTAAACACGTTGCGCATTGTTTCTGATACAGCAACGTTTCTGATAGGGGACTATAGGTTGGGCAGGACGTTGCCAGGAGTTCAACGTAAAGCCAGCCCAAATTTTAGTAATGTCGTCATGACCAAAGCAAATCTGGATCAGCTGTATTGTACCCCCGTTTTTAGAGATGTGGGTACGGAGGAAAAGAGAGAGGGTTGTATTTTCTGACATTTTGTGAGTCTCCTTACACACCGGGGACACACATTTATGTATAAAAGACATACAAAATTGCATTTTGCATAATAGATTACCTTTAAGCCGTTCTATAGATAAGGGCAAAATAGCCCAGAATATAAATTAACCGAACAAATGCTTTATGTTTTAGTGGGGATAGATAAGCATTCTAATTTATAAAATAAAAATATATATTATAGTTATGCTAGTAATTGACCATGGTTATGTTGGCTGTCTGAGTGATAGCTGATGTAACCAATACATTGGTTCTAACCTGAGGAGGGCCCAGGAGGCAGCTGGTGCTGGGGGTGATGGGGATGCTGGTGTAGTTGATTGAGATGTGGAATGGAGGAGGGCTGGGGCAGGACCATTGGTTGTTCCAGGCCCTGCAAAGCAGATAGGCTGGATCCTGAAGAGCTGGGGGGAGGAGCAGCTGCTCCTACCCCAGCGATGGCTGGATCAGCCTCCAGGATGAGTCTGGCCAGGGACTCAGCCAAGCCCCCTTCCCCTGCTCGATCCTCCAAATCTGAAACAACAGTTTTACTTAGGATTTTCCAACTATGTGTGTCTTTCTTTTGCTCTTCATTTTATATTTAACAATACGTCAAAAAAAAAAGCTTGAAGATTAGCAATTATTTTTCAGTTTCCAAAAAAACTTGACCTGTCACAAGAAATTCGGAACTTTACAAAAAAAAGAAAATTGAAGATATTAGGCATTCACAAAACCTGCAAATCTCCAGTAAGCAATACTGAAATCTAGCATAGAGAGGAACGCGACTAGCGGCATTTCCATAACTACGGCACTGACCTGGTGGAGGCAGTCCAGAGGAAGATAAGGAGAATTTAAGGGAAGGTGGAAGGGGGAGTTGGCCCGCAGAGGAATGGAGATGGGAATCAAAGGCTTCTCCCAAATCTGATTCTCCTCCCATTCCCCCTCCTCCCCCCAGCCCTGCTCCTAGCCCGGTGCCGCCCTGGAGCCCAGCGAGGCGTTTGTGTTCCTCCTGCCAGTCGTCATCTGGAAGAGAGGAGCCATATCAGGGCTTGACATTATAAATGGCCCGCTGGCCCAGAACACACCCCGGGCAGCATAACGTACTTTCCACTTCCCCGCTCGGGCCACTCAAAATATTGCTTTAAAAAAAGAAATTGTCCTGTGGTATTGGTATTTTGACAAGCCATTTTGTTAAATTGTTTCGTTTATTAACGCTACAACATAGCGTTTTGTGAGTCGGTTGTCGTTGCTGGGTGAAAAGCAAACAGCTGTTTGCTGCGGAGCGCAGCGCGAGCAGGTTCCCATGAGCGGGAGCGCGCTCCTTCACTACAGACTTTCTCGCCACCTAACCATTCGCCAAAATGTTTTTAATACCAGCGGTAACCGACCAAGCGTTGGGCAAAAAACAATCTTCAAATAAAAGAAAGTCACCGGAGGAGTTAAAGGAGACAAGGAGCATGAGAAGAAGAGGGAGAGAAAGTTTCAACCACACTGGCTTGATCGATGGAGTTGGCTTCAATATGATGATATAAACAAGGTCTTTTGTCGGCTCTGTACATCAATGCCGACCTATGCGGACAAGTAAGTGAAGAGTAGAAGATATAAAGGTATTGGCTATAGGGAAATGTCCCAGCAGTTTAGGATAATGAAGGTTCTAATCTAATCTATTACATAGCCATTACATTTCTAACTCCTAATGACAGGAAGGCAGAAAGCGCATTATACAAATAATAATACTCGTAATAATGATAATAGCACACATTTTTTAACAATGACCACAATATAATTATTTTAATAAACCAAATATGAACAATTGAAGAAAATGAGGAAGAACTGATGATTCAAATGTTGTAGTACAAGTAGTAATTTAGTTAGTGCATAAATTACTATTGCAACAAATTCGAAACTAAAACTGCGATATAATGTTTATGTAGCAATAATACACAAGACGTATATATTTTAAATGTCTCCAGTACCATAACGTCGGAGCATAACGGTTGTAGTGGCATCCAAGGGTTTCCTCTTGCCACTATAGAGCGGGGTTGACGACACGCAATCCAAAACAATAAGCAGCCGAAGGTTTTCAGTCACCAAAAAAATGTAATTTATTAACAAAAAAGTATTGACTTAAATAGTCTCAAAATAACAAATCTTAAACAATATTTCAGCGATATACTTTCCTATATAAACTAAACTATACTTTGTTTACAGCCCAATTTGCAACACCATACTCTGTCTGCAATTTGAGGTCGAAAAACTGTTCCGCTCCCCGTCTCATCAGGTCTCCGAGCACGCCGGCTGTCCTCAATTACCTCACTTAAATACACACCGGAAGGTACACGGAAACAGATCATATTACGACATAAAATCACTTCATAAAAACATATTCACCACGGCAACACAAATCACCCCTCCATCACTAAATCATTTATCAAATTATGAATCGAAATAATAACGTTGTGGCTCTAACAACGGTACCACGGTCTTTAATAATTCCGGCCCGGGGCCCGCTTGATACCGGGGCTCGGTAAAAAAATGAGTGGGGGTGAACGCACTAAACACTCCAGTGCATGACATTAAGGATTTTGGGAGATGGCCCTGTGGGCCATCTAAGCTAATTTACAGATGGCCCTGAGCCCAATAGAGATTGCCCTGAAAAATGTGCGCGGACGAAATGACACGAAGGGTTTGGGGGGCCTCCCCCTAGAACATTTAGATTTTTCCAGGTCTTACTGTAGATGCTGTCTGGTGCATTCTCTAGACTGAATTATAAGATGAACCACCACAATATTATATTGTACAATTTCAATTTTATTCTTCATTTCACTTGTTTGTTTGCTTGTCTCGCTTGCATGCCCTGCATAGCTATAAGAAATACTTAAGTTGTTGGTCAAGACACTTTCCATCTGATGAAGGCAAATGCCTTCCCAGATGTAAAAAAGCATTACATTCAGTTATAACTGTCAAAACAAACATTATTTACACTATTATGGCCCCTGTTAAAAATGTTTGTAATGTTATCTACTGTAAATTGGTCGAATGAATGCTTGCTCATCCGGAAGCTGACCGAGCAGACCCGAGAGAGTCGAGAGGAGCCGAGCGCATCCGCGAAGCACACAACATGGTGACGTCGGAGTTCCCGTTAGACGGCAAATCTAAATCTCTTCGGTCAAAAATAATTTCCCTTTAGCGCAATACCGCTTCAGTTGCGCCACTTATGTGACAGACAAGAAGAGTATGTGACAGACAATAATAGTCAATTCTAATGTCTAACACGTAATGTGGAGAAAGAGATGTCCTGTCTGTGTTGATTGTGCGTTGATCTGTTGGTAATGCCTCGGGGTTCCGGTGGGCATGTAAACAAATGCATAATGCTGCGCTATACTTTATGGCCTCACCCGGTTGCATAGCGACATTTATTGTTTAGGTGTCTTCTAATAAGCAGGTAGTCATATCATTAGCTAGAACTAGCTGGATCTGATCGATATGGACATAAACGCGAGTGAAGTCTAATCTGACGGCAGAGAGAGATCAGCTGCTGCTGACGAGTCGACACGCAGCTCTGCATGATCACATGCAGCGGTGAGCGGACAAAACACACACTTCAGGTTAGAATATCACTCGTGGCTATTTTAATTACCTCTCAAACTACCTAAACTAGTTATAGATATGTTTAGTTTTACTGTCGGGTCACTCATTACTGGATCCGCGAGCTGCATGATACTGGCATAATAGATTGCCCGATCGGGCAACCAGCAGGTGAGGCTTTATTGCCCGAGCTAAATACTAGATGGCCCCGGGCCATCGGGCAGTCCGTAATGTCGAGCCCTGAAGAGTTATGGAAATAGTAGAGCTCAGGCACTGTTT